GGCCGGCGGATGCGACGAAGGAGCGTCCGGCGGGTTTGCGGCAACCACATGTGGCGACACCGGGCCGGACTCCGCTTCATTGATGCATTGATGTATTTCCTCAGCGACCAGCACGGATCAGCTCCAGGCATTATAAAGATTTTTTTAAAGTGTTTTTGTAATTATCTTGAAAAATATGAAAACATTTCTGAAACATACACTCATGTATTGAAAGGTATTAAGTACTTTTTATTGGATGATTAAACGACTGGACATTTTTAGAGCCATTAAATCAAAATGATAATAAAAAGTATGCTCATACTATATCTCATATATGAACACATTATTTTATATGCATAGGCAAAGGATTTCATCTATGGAACTATGGCTCTCACTGTCTTTAGATTATTGTTTACATGTTGGATTAATTATTTTTGAAGGTAAATCACATGTTGGTTGTGCTTAAATATCCCATGTCTCATATTCAGGAACACAACTGAGAAATCAACAGATGACTCGCGTCACTAATATGCTTAAAACTCTGATACCAAATTATCTTAAGACTTACAATATCATTCCATTACATTCCACTTTTCCCACAATCGGTATGCAGGGAATTTCGTCGTATAAATAAGAAGCACTCAGATACAGTGTCCGTCTGTCCTCTCTCACGCGCGCCACACAAACAAAATACAGGAGAGAAGTTCACAGTCTTAACGGGCTCGAGCTCAGTACAGATATTTCTCTCTCCGCGCAACTTTTCCAGTCATGTAATGTTCGGGTGGGTTGATATTAAAGGACCACTTACCTCAGACGACCATCCGTGGATCAGCTGTTTCTCCGCTCTCGAGTTTATATGATCAGCGCAGGTTCCGCGAGCTCACAGCAGCACTCAAACAACATGCCGTATTTAAACCCGATCACAGAGGACAGTGCCAGTGAGGCTGGAGAGCTGCAGTGAGCACCGCGATGTGTACCACACACATACCACACCGGTCCGGTACTGCTGTGAGTCTGTGCCCGCTATCCTCCGCTACACTTCACAGATGCAGAGGGGTGGAGTGACAGATCCCAGCAGCGCAATGTGTCACGGGAGCTGTAGTTCTGCTCATACGGCCACTGCAACAGCAGCGCAAGTGGCTGCTTTCAGTTTGTGGTGTGTGGATGGCATGTGAAAATGAATAAATATGGCTATGTTTTAAAAATAACAATATGTTATGGATCTTTCAGGGATCTTTAACCCTTCTCTGCATTTTTCAAATTGAGTGCTGCATTTCAAAAGAATAGTTGACCCAACAGTGAAAATTTGCTGAACATTTACTCAATCTTGGGCCTTCTGAGAAGTAGATGAGTTAGTTTCTTTTTTCGGAGTGAATTTGGAGAAAGTTTGCATCACATAACTTACTCAACAATGGATTCTTATGGGTGCCACTGGAATGAGAGTCCAAACAGCTGATAAAAAAAAAACATCACAATAACCCAATAAGACTGTTGTTTCTGGCTAAAATATGAGTCCATAAACCATAGTAACACTTCCTCCAGTGAGAAAGTCCCCATATTTGTTTAGAACTGTTTTGGACCGTTTTTGCTTGTAAATGGTGTTTGATCTGTGCACAGTTCTCTCCTGAGTCAGATCAAACAACTTTTTCACTGGAGAATGCAATATTATAGATAGAGGGTTCATAATTTGGTCAGAAGAAACAGTTAAAAACATCTTGATGGATTTGTTTCTTACAAACAGATGTTAATTGATGAACTGCCATTTTGTGGATTACTTGTGTATTATTGTGATGTGTTTATCAGCTGTTTGGCGTCTCGTTCTGACGGCACCCATTCACTGCAGAGGATCCATTGGTGAGCAAGTGATGTAATGCTACATTTCTCCAAATCTGTTCTGATGAAGAAACAAACTCATCTACATCTTGAATGGCCTGAGGGTGAGTACATTTTCAGCAAATTTAGATTTTTGGATGAACTATTATTAAGCCAGGCCTTTAATAATGTGTATAGTTCCATATTAATGTATTTTCATACTTAATTGCTTACTTACACTGCAAGGCCATTAAAGTAATCTTTATTGATATAGGCTACAAAGTCATTTACTTGTACATTACATTTAAACTTGACTTAACATATGTTAATGTAAGAAGGACAAATAAACATTTAACTGAACATTATCTTTAGTTTAAGTTAACTTAATATTGTATATTGTAGTTTGTAGCATATTGTGTTTTATATGCTATATATAGCATATTTTTAAAATATATAGTTTGAACAATTCAAAAGGAATATGTACAGGATTGCATGGATAGTATAGGATTATAGGATAATAATAATAATAATAATAATAATACATTGTTATTCAGTTCATTTAGTGCCTGCTTTCTAAACACAGTATGCTTGACTTCCTGGGGAATATCCAAAATTATACTTAGAACAAGAAGCAATGACAGCAATACCAAAATGACTTTTAACATGCATTATAAAATGCCGACCCCTCCCTTGAGCAGTCTACCTTATTGTTTGTGCTTCAGTGCTTGTAGCCTTTTTTATTTTTGATTAAATGGTGGCAGGAGTAATCGTTGTCATTGTTTCAGTAAGGAAAAGAGAAACTTGTTTTTAGAAAGGGCTTGATAGGAAGTTCACACTTCAAGCTAAGTGTCTAAATATAGTTCTAATGTGCAACCACAACTGTGTGCTTAGCTGTTCAGGAAAGAAACACTCTGGTCATCAGAAGCATGAGAGCTGGGCCTTAGTAAAACACTAGTGCATACACTCTAAAAAATGCTGGGCTGATTCAACCCAACTTTGGGTCAAATATGGACTTACCCAACCATTGGGTTACATTTTTTAATTACATTTTAAACCCAAAAGTTGGGTTAGTCCATATCTGACCCAAAGTTGGGTTGAAACAACCCAGCATTTGTTTTTAGTGTATGTACGTGACAAGAGGTTTTTGGCACCATCAGAAGTAGTCGACTTGTTAGTTCCTCAAAACAGTAATATTGATTTGTTATGTGAAAAACTGCACGCTGACTCAGTGCTGACGATATACAAAAATTTTTCATTAGTGTGCACATTTATTTAGCTGTAGAAGTGTCACAATAATAAATAGCCCTAAGGCACAAATATTGATATTGTTCATGATAATGTACATCATTTATTTTGGACTAATATATAGCAGAGTTATGTAGGCCTGTAAATAAAAGTATTAATATATGTATCTAAATTATCTCCGTTAAATTTGTTTTGTATGTGTGTGCTGGTTGAAATATTGTTCATTTTACTGTTAAAATTGATAAGAAAACACTCATAGTCATATGAGCATATTAAAATATTCATAACTTAAGTTTTTAGGGCTTACACAGATTATGTCTGTATATACTTCTGAAATGTAGCTCAGCTTAGATGTTCTTCAGCATGATGTATCTTTAACTACCCAACTGTGTCAGAAATAGCTACAAGTATTTTGTTGTGCTCGTCGGTTTGAGTATTCAAACTCTCTAGATAAATCAATTCACAAGGACAGGGCATTCAATTTCAACTCTGTCATGTTTCTGTTCTTACAACATGCAGTGGGAGTGTACATATAGTCACAGTAGGAGTATGCTCTGTAAAAAGCTATTATTGATGGCATATAATTGCAAAAGGCTGTAGTCTAGTAAGTTGTGGAAATCATCTTGATACTACATTAGGCTGTTTGGTTGATTATTGATATAATATGACGTGATCAACATGATTTCTTCCTGAAAGTGCATTTTAACAAATATTTTTTATTATTAAAATGCACTTCCTGAAAGTGCATTTTAATAATATTGACGACTGTCCAACAGATTATGCATGGGTGTGTAAAGGAAGATTTAGCAAGATGGATCTATGGAAATGAACTGAATGAACTCGACAGAAAATGATAGGGAAGAAACCTTGGAGTGGCATACTAAATAAATACACTATCCACTTGCGCCATCTACTGGATATGTTTCATGTTTTGTAAATAACATATTTAGCAAGCAGAAATCCCAGCTTTACAGATAATTTAATTAAATCAATTGAATGCATTTGATGTAACAGACACAGCTGCTTTTAAAAGTAAAGTACATACTATATGTACTACGTACATATACGTAGATGTTATATTGACGGGAAAAGATAACTTTGGTGAAAATGAACATATTCCCCTCTGACACAATGCTTTTGTATTTTGTCATAGTTTTTTATTGGACATTTAATATCGCACTTTTTTAAATGCTTTCATATTTATGTTTGACGAGCCCGGCTGCATACGTCATCAGCAGGTGAAAGGTCATGTAGGGCAAGATGGCGGCGTCCGGGGGAGCTGTAGTGTTAAAGACGGTTAAGAAAATTATTGTACAGTTTTGCCCCTTTGAATCTAATGTTCGCTCCACAAGGTAAGAATACTGTACATACCTCGATGTAACTTACTTTAAGTGATCGTGGTTAATGTTGACCAGGTCTGTCTGGTAAAGTAAATCTCGTGCATGATCATGACTTCAGGAGCAGTTTTTCCTCCTGTACCTGCGGTCGGTCATAAGGACGAAGTATACGATGCAAATTACACTTATTTAGGTGTCACTGTGTGTTTCTCGGGTTCAGCGTTCACAGCAGCACTCGCCACTTCTGGACTGTTCTCCACACTCGACATTTAACATGCACTAGCATACGCAGATTATGTGCGACAATACGCAAAATTATTGTTAAACATTATATGAACGTGCTTTTGATACTGCGTAGAAACAGCATCGATTGTGATGCTTGAACTGTCGTATGTTAGCTTTTGTCCTCTGGCGCCTCTGTCAGTCTAAACGCGGTAAATGCAGCAGGCTGTCAAATTGTTTGAACGATCGGACTAGTATTTTCGTACTATTCTTGCAGAATATAACTGTGCACAGTTAGCAAATTGTATTGAAAATAATATGTGCCATTTGCAAATACTGTGATGAGGTCACGTAGCATACTAATGTTTGAAATGTTTACCATAGAAAAATGTTTGACTTGCTATACTAAGAAGAATATACAGCATACAGTTTATAGTGTATATTGTTTTTGTAAATTGCAAGCTAGTGTGCCGTTCCAAACATGCGTAATATCTGAAGCAGGATTCACAGAAATTCCAAATGTCCTATTCTGGATCCAAATGGTGATATAGTGTGCAATTATGTCAGTAAAATCATCTGCTATGAAATTATTCTAAAAGTTTGGGAAAAGCGATCCTAAATGACTCTTTAATCTGTTTCTGATGACAAACTGGCCACTTCGTATCGATGACATATTTATTGTGAGCTGTCACGACAGTGGTTCTTATCCTTCCTTCCTCAAGTGTTTGTTGCATAAATGAAATGTGAATTTGTGAATGTATAATTAAAAGCATAAGTCAGCCACACTGTATAACTCTCAGATCCCAAAAAGCCTCTTCATTCCATCACATCTCTTGCATTTCTTATCTCTGCTTCCTTCCTGCAGAGAGTTTCTCATCATGGTCGGGGCTGAAAAAGCCAGAGTCACAAATAGGAACTGTGAAGTTATCACAGATGTAAAGCATGACCAATCAGAGCCTACGATTGACATCACATTTTGTGAGTGACTGAACTGTAAATTCAATATTGCAGAGGAGCATACGGCATAGTGTCATTTTATGATGTATAATGCATGTTTTTGTGGTCTCTTGCAGTGGATGGAGAGAGGCTGGTGATGAAGGGATCCAAACTAACCACTCAAGAAATGCTCTCAGCCTTACAGACCCGATGCAGTGCTAAAGATCCTCAAGCTAAAGCAGGAGACAAGAAGTAGTCTATTCTGTATTATGTATTTATATGTCTGTGGATGTGTAATAAAATTGTTATCTGTCATGTCTTTGTGAGTTGACTCTCACTTTGTCCTCAGCAGTTTTGGTGGGACGTCTGAAGTAAATCAACAGGCCTCTATATTCAGACACAGGAAAATCTCTACTTCTGCTCAATGTTGTGTGGAAATGTGAATCTGATTTGACCAAACAAATCTGTAGGTTATTTTTGCATTACATTCAGGTAGTTAATGCATA